GCCAGTGTCCGGTTAGCTGTAGGAGTGCTGCAGCGCTGCAGCCTTCTCTACTTAGTGCCGGAACGTAAGAATGTTGCAGCGACTTTGCCAGTGTCCGGTTAGCTGTAGGAGTGCTGCAGCGCTGCAGCCTTCTCTACTTAGTTGCCGGAACGTAAGAATGTTGCAGCGACTTTGCCAGTGTCCGGTTAGCTGTAGGAGTGCTGCAGTGCTGCAGCGCTGCAGCCTTCTCTACTTAGTTGCCGGAATGTAAGAATGTTGCAGCGACTTTGCCAGTGTCCGGTTAGCTGTAGGAGTGCTGCAGCGCTGCAGCCTTCTCTACTTAGTTGCCGGAATGTAAGAATGCTTCAGCGACTTTGTCCGGCTAGCTGTGGGAGTGCTGCAGCGCTACAGCCTTCTCTACTTAGTTGCCGGAATATAAGGATGTTGCGGCCGCCGGTATGAGTGTTGCAGCCTTAGGCTCTAGTTGCCGAAATGTAAGAGTGTTGCGGCTTTTCTCTAGTTGCCAGCACAATGTCAGCATCTGAGTCGTTACAACAGGTGTCTCCGCTCTGCTCCGCGGTTCATGCCAGAGCGCGTGAACGCGTGCGTTACTGTACAAGTTTGAATGGGAGCAACGTCACGCGTCACAAGCCTCTCCGGGGTTGTAATTTTTGGGTCTTGTCACGGAACTTTGCACCAAATCTGGGCCAAAATCGAGATAAATCCAACGAAAACCCCCCAAAATTCCCAAAATCACTGTTTTTGGCAATTCGACGCCCGCCGTTGCTCGCGCAGATGCTGGCTTGGATGTCACACCCCCGGGTTGGTTGCTCCCATTCAAACTCGTACAGTAAGTATATGGATGCGCGCAACTCCCCTCACGGGCACGCGTCAGCTTGCTTAGTCATCAAAGTCTCACGGCCTGGCGTCAAGCGTGGCTGCGGGGCTTGGGCTCTGGATCGTCCAACCATGGGTCTCGCAGGCAGAAAAGTCAAGCAGCGGATCCCAAACGACCCCCGCAACCTCTCTTGGGCAGATGGTGCGTGATCCCGAGACCATACAGGGGTACCTCGCAGTGTAACGTAGCTCTGTCTAGACGCCAACAAGTTCGGTGCTGCCTACCTCCAAAAACTAGGATGGTCGTCGGGCACGGGCTTGGGCACGAGCGGTGAGGGCCGCACGACACACGTCAAGGTCCACCAAAAGCTTGACATGCTCGGCATCGGCGCTGCGCATCAAAAGGACCCCAACGGCTTGGCGTGGAAGCAGAGCCGGGATTTTGAGAACCTGCTGAGGCGTCTGAACGCCGCGGGGGGTGAGGCTACGGAGGACGAGCCGGGGACGAAGCTCGATGGATTTTCACGGGCGACGGTAGAGGAGAAGCAGGATGTGAAGGAGGAGTCGAAGAAGCGTAAGCGGAATGCTGAGGATGATGGTGAGCAAGCGATGAGCGAGGGCGAGGACATCGTTGTTGAAGAGAGCAAAGAGGAGAGGAAGAAGAGAAAGAGGGATGAAAAGGCGCGGAAGAAGGAAGAGAAGGAGAGGAAGAAAGCGGAGAAGAAGAAAGCAAAGGAGACGGAAGGCATGGCAGAGGACGAGAAAGTTGTAGAGAGCACTGCGGAGTCATCTACGGAACCACCAAAACACAGACCAACAGTTGTTAGGCCGTGCGTCCGCTGTCTCTCTCCTATACTATATATTCTAACGTCCGGATAGTGTTCGCGCCCACCGCGCACGCTTCATGGCCTCCAAAAACATCGCCTCAAAATCCTCGACCGCGATCGACGAGATCCTCGGCATCTCGCGCTCAGGCAGCGCCACGCCGTACCCGTCCGCCCTCGACACGCCCGCGCTCACGGACCCGTCCTTGTCAGCCACGCCCGCTGACGAGCTCAAGCTGCAAGAGCTCACGACGTCGAGCAAGAGCGTGATGGACTACTTCAAGGAGAAGCTTCTTGCCAAGTCGAATGCGGCCTCGAGCAGCGGCTCGCCCTCGTCGTCATCCTTGGCTTCGACCTCGGCCTCGATGCCGCGCGAGCAGGAGTACGATGACTATGATGACCGGCCTCGCGGGCTCGGCGCGGGACTCGGTTTCGCACGTTCGTCTGCGGGAGGCATCGGCGCGAGCAGGCTGCGCTCGGAGGTGACCTTCGAGGCGGAAGAGTGCGAGGAACCTTCGCGCGCGGGCCTCGGCTCGTCGGTCACATCGCAGATGAGTGCAATATTCTCGTCTGCGAAGGAGAGTGCCGATGCGGGAGAGGTGGTAAGTGAGACCTTGGAAGTGGGGGTCGTCGAGGAGCAGGTGCCCGAGGAGAAAAGGGGAAAGAAAGAGAAAAAGGACAAGGGGAAGAAGTGCGAGATGGCCGAGGAGATAGCTGGAGAGGCGGAGGAGAAGGAGAAGAAGAGCAAGAAACGGAAGGAGCGCTCTGGAGAGGACGCTATGGAAGAGGTTTCTGAAGAGGGCAAGAAGAGCGAGCACAGGACACCTGGTGGTGAGGGCGAAGATGTCGAGGAGGAAGATGGAGAGAATGCCTCCTCGGTCGCAAGAAAGAAGAAGAGTAAGAAGGATAAAATGAAGGAGGCGAAGGTGGAAGTCGAGGGTGCAGCAGAAATGGCCGGCAGGGAGAAAAAGAAAAAGAAGAGCAAGAAGGCTAAGCCGTCCGACAGTTAGCCAGCAGTCGTCTCCACGGAGCCTCTTTTGTATTCTTGTACGCACACCGGTGGTAACCTCGGGAGGCCTGGATCGGCCGACTCAAATATCATACTGACAACGCCACAATGTCTGAAGAAGCGCTTGAACATTGGGCGCCGTGTCACATGATCGACGCGCATCTAATTGAACTTCGTCGCGGTCGTGTTTTCTTCCGTTCACGTCGTCTGTGTATCTGCTACCACTGTTCTGGACGATGAGCAGCTCGGACGGATACTTTGATGACGATATAGACTCTGCCATTCTCGAGCAGGTCGATGCTATCGAGGCCGCACATACTCAGGCCTTCGCAACCGCCCCTAGTCGTCCTGTACGCCCACCTCAGAAAGCCCCGCCGCCTCAAGAACGCGAAGTGATTGAGATAGACGACTCATATGACTATGGCACATTTGATATTGACGACAAAGATCTGGAAATCATCGACAAGATATGTGACGAGGCGTACAAGGGGAAGAGGACTGTTGCACCTATCGCGGGGCCCAGTAGGGCGAGATCAGGCCTACAACGAACGGCTTCAGCGGCAACGGTGCAAACAACACTTTTTGGAGGCGTCGTGCAACACAAGCCGCCATCGTCTCCCCACAAGCCGCCGTCGTCCTCACGCCAGCCGGTCCGACGCGCGAACACTAACTCGAACAACCTCTTCACGGGCAACCCGAAGAAAATCAAGAAGTGGGATCACACCGCGTTTGCAAAGTCTGGCTGGAAAAAGCCAAAGGCTGTCAAAGGAAAGGAGAAGGCGGGCTCGTTTAACGATGGCGAGGAGGAGGACGACTGGGAGGAAGAGGAGGTCGAGTTTGAGCAATTCCCAGCTCCGTTCATATCACTGGGGTGCGTACCACCTGTTTTTGCACTCCCGTGACGTCTTCAATCTCGTTTACTTCTAGTCCCGTGCGTACCACTGTTTTCTCAACCGGCTAGAGTGCTCATCTTTCCTTCATCCTCAGCCGCCTCCTATGAAGCTTCAGTCAGACATGCTTGCCGCCCGACGTTGGTTATACCCGTTGAACCAGGAAAAGCGAGATTACCAGTTCAACATAGTCAAACGCTGTCTGTTTGAAAACACGCTTGTTGCATTGCCTACTGGTCTTGGCAAGACCTTTATCGCCGGTGTTGTCATGCTAAACTGTATGTGCTTTCTTGTTCCGCTCTACAGCGTCTGCTGAAATTATAGACAAGTCTTCACGTGGTTTCCCGAAGGCAAGGTTGTTTTTGTCGCGCCGACGAAGCCACTGGTGGCGCAGCAAATCGAAGCTTGCCACAAGACATGTGGAATTCCTGGCAGCCATGCTGCCGAGCTCACAGGCCAGAACCCACGGGCTTACCGCGCAAAAGCAGTGAGTGTCCTTGCACTGCTCGCACACAACAGTGTTAAGTATGACGTCTAGTGGCAAGAGAAGCGTGTCTTCTACATGACGCCACAAACTCTCATGAATGACCTGAAGACAGACAACTGCGACCCGCGAGACATCGTGCTGCTCGTGATCGGTATGTTTATCTTGATCTTTATCTTGGTCGCTGCTCACATCGCGCCACAGACGAGGCGCATAAGGGCACCGGCGACTACGCGTACGCGCAGGTCGTCCGGTATCTGATGGCGAAGAACCCGCACTTTCGGGTGCTCGCGCTGACAGCAACACCCGGAGGCAAGCCCGAGGCTGTGCAGATGATAGTTGACTCGCTACACATCAGTCACGTCGAGATCCGTGACGAGCAGAGCCTCGACCTTGCGCCGTACCTGCACAAGAAGCACATCCGGCAGCACGTCATACATATGACAGACGACGTCGCGAAGATTAGAGACATGCTGGGTGAAGTTATGGAGGTGAGTGCCTTCCTTGCGCGCTGCATATGCAGGCTGATACCTTGTTGGTACAGCCTATGATCACGAAGCTCTCGAAACAGAAGATACTGTATCACAGCCCAACGCCTGTCTGCTTGCATCCCTACAGCTGCACCAAGGCCATGAGCGCGCTGCATGCACGGCGCGACCGCGCACGATGGGCATTCGGAATGCTCACGAAGCTCGGTGCCCTCGCACGTATCATGGGTTACCTTGTACGCTCTCCACGACCAATGGGTTTTCCGAAAGCTCTAATTCACTCTCTAGATCGAAGGCAGCCTCGAACAGTGCTACGACGCCCTGAAGGAGCTCTGCTCCGGTGTCAACGAGACGACGGGCAAGCAGACCGCGACGAAGGCGAAGGCGGACCGCTTCGGCAAGGACGAGAAGCTGCAGCAGATCGTCGCCGAGCTCGAGCGGATGCACGCGCGCCCGGGCGGGTTCGGCGCGCACCCGAAGATGGAGAAGCTCAAGACGCTGCTCGTCGAGCACTTTGCGCAGAAGGGCTTCGAGGCCGAGGGGCACGGCGCCGGCGACGGCGAGCTCAACAGCGACTCGCGCGTCATGGTGTTCACGTCCTTCCGGCAGAGCGTGGAGCTCATCACGGACGCACTGAACAAGGACCGGCCGCTCATACGTGCGGTGCCGTTCATCGGGCAGGGCGTCGACAAGCATGGGAAGAAGGGCTACGGGCAGAAGGAGCAGCTGGAGGTGCGCCAGGGTGGCGCAGGGCGGAGATAATTGCTCACGGATGCAACGCAGATTATCAAGCGCTTTAAGGCGGGCGAGTTCAACGTCCTTGTCTCAACGTCGATCGGTGAGGAGGGTCTCGATATCGGCGAGATCGACATGATTGCGTGCTACGACGCGCAGAAGACACCTATCCGCATGGTGTGTATTCTGTCTTACTTTGGGAGTAATTAATCCGTGTACTAAATCATGTCTGCTAGCTGCAACGCATCGGCCGTACTGGTCGTAAACGCGACGGATACGTGCATGTTCTGCTGAGCGAGGAACGCGAAGAGCGCAACTGGGAAAAGGCTGATGACAACTACAAGGACGTACAGCGGTTCATCCTGCGCGCCGAAGCCCTGGAGTTGTACGAAGACGTCGAACGGCTCATCCCCGAGCACATCAAGCCTGAGTGCATCGAGATGGTCATGGACATTGAGGAGTACGTGCGCGAGGACCCCGAGAAGCGCAAGCTAGAATCTCTGCCCAAGGCCAAGAAGCGTGCGAGGAACGACGACGCGATGCGCAATGTGCCGGAAGGCGCCGCGACGGGGTTCGTCAGCGTCAGGGATCTTCTGCAGAAGGGCAAGAAGAGGAAGAAGCCAATCGAGCCCATCGATCTCGACCGTGCCGATGAAAGCGACGATGTGGACCGGGAGATCGAGGCGGGCATTTTCGGGCCGCGGCGCACGGTTTCGACTCCTGTGGAGAAATCGAAAGCGAAGCGCGTGAAGCGATCTGCAACGATCGCTGCTGCTGACGCGACCGGAGCGGGAAAGAAGAGAAGCAAAGCAAAGAAGACAAAAGATGAATTGGCAAGTCTGGAAGAGCTCACGGCCAGCCAGATCGAGCGGCTCGGTGAAGACGATTCAGAAGATGAGGCGATCGCGCAAGGGCTTAGCGTGGCGAAGTCGTCTGCTTCCTCCAAAGCGAGCAACAAAGCTAAGACTAGCGCCACTGTCAAAGCGTCCGGTAAAAAGCGCAAGAGACCACCATCACCGCCGCCACGCCCTGGAACACCAACGCCCTCTTCAAAGAAAGGTGGCAGCTCTCGCTCGGCGCTGATCCCTGAGCCAATGACTCCGCCAGATTGGTCGTCGTCACCAGCACGCCCGCTCGCAGAACTCGACATCGTCGAGTTGACTTCCCCCGGAATGTCTCCCATCGACCGCACGCCGTCGCCCGAGTTTGAGTCACCTCGGTGGTCCTCGCCGGACGTCTCCATCTCGTCTGCCCGCAAGTCGTCTGTGCCCAAGGGGAAGTCGCGGTCGCCTATCAGCTCGCCCGCGCCCATTCCGGACTGCTCAGCCTCGGTGTCGTCTCGTAGTATCACTGCCGAGGTAGGTGGCTTGGATGAATTGGACAGTATGGACAGAGCGGGCGAAGCAGGCGCAGATACGAGTATGGCGTGGCTGCTCGAGGACGACAGCGAGCCGGATATCGAAGTTATTGGGTCTTCGCCGGCCTCTGACCGTGTCTCAAGAGACCCACCGCGGGTTGCTCTTGACGACAGCTCGGACGTTGAGGTCCTCCCGATGTCACCTAAACCAGCAAAATGGAAGTCTCCACCTATGCAGCGAGACCCATCCATAGAGAAGTTCACGGGGGTCGATGACAATGAGCCAGCGTCGAATGCCAAGATCTCACGTGCGAAATCATCTGCTAAGTTCAGGCGAGTAGGTGCAGCCTCGAGTGCCGGAATGAAGATGCCACCTCCAGCTCTGCCCGCCCGCTTCACGCTATCCTCGTCGCCGCCTCCAGATTCAGCGCTCGACATTGAAGCCGACGTGGATTATCAGCAACATCCGTCTTCCGATGGTCCTCCAATTGCAACCTTCGCCGTCCGCGGCCCTGCACGGACGAAGAAACTGATGCAAGTCAACTCTTCGCCGCTCAGGACGCCCTCGGACGCACCAAGACGCCTTCGACGCGGTCCGCCACCTCCACCGCGTGCGCGGTCGCCAGCCGAGGACTCCGCCTGCGCCTCGCAGCCGCCCTCGGACACACACGAGCCTGCACGCCCTCCAAAGCACAAGAAGCGCAAGTTTGCCGACGCGCGTGCGCTGGCGCGGGCGAACCCGTGGCTGGACATCGAGGCGGCGCACTCGGGGAGCGAGGCCGAGGACGGCGCGCTGGAGGACGCGGACGCGTACAGCGACGTCGCAAGCAGCGATGCCGGCTTCGCAGGCGACTTTTCCGCGACCCAGGCGCCCGCGGGGTATGACCAGGCGGCGGTCTACCGCCGGAGCCTGCTGACGCAGGCCATGCCCACCGCGAGCGTGCCCGTGTTCGCCCGTGGGCCTACCCGGAGGGACGTGTTCCGTGCGGGGGCTGCACGAAGCGGTGTGGGAAGGCGTGGGCTGCCCTCGAGTAGCCCGCCGAGGGAGCTGAATAGCGAGGATGAGTACGAGCTGGGGACGTTTGTTGTGGACGATGACGAGGAGATTTCGTATGCGCGGGGGTCGCCGATCCTTAGTCAATGACTTGTAGCTCGTTCATGTCGTAGCATTGATTCCACATACAGCAGTTGTCTGAGGTATCCGGGCGACCTTAATCTAACAATCGAGATCTACGTTACAGCCAAAGACTTTCACCGCTGGTATATCAGCTATTGTTGACTAACGCAAAGCTTGTTTGGCGGTTCAATACACACGAGCTGGAAGAGATGTGCGCTACAGCAAGGATAATCCGCGTGCACGATAACTTCTCTGCAAACTTCCTACGAGACAAGATCCACTAGAAGTCAGAACAGCATAATAACACAAAAACATGACAGCAACGCAGAGGACATCATGAAGATACAGAAAACATGAAGATGATGTGGAGAATGTGCGACGAAAGGATGAACAATGGGAGCCGGCATTGTCCATGTGGAAGATGACGTAACGGGTCCAGCTCTGGACGAGGTCTTTCACCGACCGATGCAATTACACCGCAGAAGAGATCTAACGCACTAATCAGAGACAAGTCGAACGACAACATCTTGGCTACTCACAGGGGTGCAGTGTTCGTATTCCTCGTGGATGGATTCTTCCGAGTGCGACCGAGAATCCGATTTCCTCGCACGCGTCCTGGTCGGACGCGGAGGGGGGTAGCCAAGCTGATAGAAATACGCTAAGACGAATGCCATGTGCAAGAGCCCTACTGCACCGATAATGATGATGAGGACACGGGCGAGTGTGGAGGCGGGCACGCCTTGGGTATCTGCCGTTGGCAAGCCTGCATTCATTGCGGACGTGGAATTCTTGCTCCGCGAGTCAAGTATGGCATCTGCCACGTATGCGGACATGTTGCCGGACGACAGGAGGCACCACAGAGTACTAATCGTGAACATTCCGAAAGAGACATAAGACCTGTTAGAGAGAAAGTTAAGTCGTGAGTGCACATATAGAAATATTGTGTAAAAATACAGACCAATTTCTCCATGCAATGGGAGCTGCAAGCAATGCAGATGTCGCAATAAACGGGGATTCGGCATTGCGTTCGGTGACCGAGTGCCAGTTCCATCGAGACTCGTGATTGCGGCGAATGAACTCGATGTGTCTCTTCATCGCCACACACAGCACGAGAGAGATGCCACCGCATACGTATGTCGCGTATGAGAACGCTGTCGCAATGGCGAACGATGGACCCGCCACAGGCTGCATGTGGCGCTCGACGAAGGCGCATGCACTACCACGGCGGCCTGTTAAGCACAGAGACAGGCTCGAGCAGCACAAGCAACGCACAAGATGACCCATTCGCACTGGCGTGTAATATCATCCCAGCCCTTCAGCATGTGGTCGACGAATTTCTGCCAGTCGCCATCGAGCTTGGCAGGTAGTCGAGCGCTGAGCCTGGCCTTCGCGGTCGCGGCGTTGAAGTCGTCGATGGCATGGGAGAAGAAGGGAAAAGACGGGACGGACATGAGGAGGCCTCTGTAGTACCCGAGCGTGCAACAGGCGACCACGGACTGGTATACCCATGGCCACAGGGCATAACTACGTGCTGCCTCTGACTTCATCGGCGCTAAACTGTCTCGAAGGGCGATCGGTGATCGGGCCGTGATGAGCCTTTCGCGAGTTATGTAAGCGCCAGATACGGCAGTGTGGGCGTAGCTGGCTCAAAAGATACTTGGAAATAATAGGGCGCTTAATTGAGCACCTGTGTTGCGGGGCCTTGCGCAGACAAAATCTCGATAGGGGAAGCTATCACAAGAGCCAAAGATTCAGTTTGAGCGAGAGTCTGACTGGTGGAGGTGTGAAATGTGTCCGTAGAGAGTAGGAAGTGGACTACGGAGTATATAAAGACCAAAGCGGGCAGGAAGTCTGATGTCCGTACGCGAGACTCACAATGGGTTTCATTAAGGCAATGCTCGGAGGCGTGCAAATTGGTTGACACCTTCTGGGCCACGCCGGAGACTGCACCGCCTTGCCTCGGATGAAGCTCCCAAATGTGTTGAAGCGCCTAGTGGCTCTGGCTCGGCGTTCCGCCCGGCATGGACGAAAGGTGGACATCTTAGATTAGGCACTGCTAATACGTAGATAGTGATTGGACAATCGTATATAGTGTTCCCACGCACGGACCTCTTTATGGCAGGCTTCCCCATTCTAGCGGACTTTCAATTTTGCTTCCTTTTAGTATATAAGGACTCCCCTCGCATCCCCACTCTGCGTGCTCCTTCCCTTCGCACTCAGAGTAAGTTCCCTTCGTCGCCCTTGCGCAGTATGACATATGCTTACCACTGCCTGTATAGCTAACACCGTGTGTATCAGGTAGTTACTTATACAGCGTGCTCCTTCCCTTCGCACTCAGACTAACACCGTGTGTATCAGATCGTGCCCGCGTGCCACTCGCCAGTTCGCGCTTGCGCAGCCCAGTCGTCGTATCACGACAATAGGTTATGAGCCCCGGCTTGTAACTGGCCCCCATCTACCCTCCATCCCTCATGAGTCTTCACTCGGAGAGATCCGGCACCAGCTGCACATTTGCTCCATAACACCTCAGGGTCTTTACCCTAAGTGTTACTCCACATCGCAACACGGACACTAGAGATCCTCTAGTGCATGTCTAGTCCATCTGCATCACGCCCACCATCACCAACTGCACCGACACCTGCACCTGCACCCTGTCCTACACGTCGCACTCCCGCCGCTCCCGCTACACCCTCTCAATCCGCGTCCACCGCACCACGCCGCACGACAACCATGTCCTCCACCTCCGCATTCGCATCAGCCACCGGTCCGCCGTCGATGAAGCTCGACGCGATCAGAAAGCTCAAAGGTTCCAGCGACTACCCACGCTGGTCCCTAATGATGCAGCAATACTTCATTGCTGCACGCGCATGGAAGGTCGTCGACGGCACTGAGAGAGCACCCGTCCAAAGCAGCACCGTCTCTGCTGCGGACATTGAAGCATGGGAGACGACGAACGCATACGCGAGGTTTTACATCCTCAGCACGCTCGGCGACGAGCTCCTGCACCTCGCGAACCCAGTGGACATCACAGCCGCCGCGCTGTGGAAGAAGCTGAAGGACAACTACGCCGCCTCCACCACAATGTCGGCATTCGTCAAGTTTCGTGCGTACTTCTCGCACGCAATCACGGACAGCGATGACCTCGCTGCCCAACTCGACGAACGCGCCCGACTCTGGCAAGAGGTCAGTGTCTCCGGGATCCTCCAAACCCCGGAGCTCCTGCAGAAATTCGGTCTGCTCACGGTGTGGAGGGAGATTCGGCTTGCGAGGGTCGACGTCGGTACGATGGGACGAGACGATAGCTAAGGAAGGGGTGTTGGAGTGACAGAGGAGGAGATACGGTCGTCGAGGGAAAAGAAACTTGAACGCGCGAGCAGCGATCTCTGGTTACAGAGACGCCGCGAGAGCCAAAAACTATAACCTGATACTTAAGCTAATATACCGCTCCACTGAACTTACTATTCGTACTTGTGCCCGCGCTCTCGCGGGCGATTCTATACTAAACTCAAAGGCGGGCGGAGGTGACAGCTCACGCGCGGTGGGGGGAAATTCTGAGGGAAAGCGGGACTTGCTCCATTCGAAGGTGGGAGGTCACCTTTATAATACATGACAAAACCGTCACTCCACTGCCGTGCTCTCGGCCGGAGTGCCCCTAAAGAAGAAGAGTGGGAAACGTCGTGAAAAGAGACCAAAGGGGGACGAAGAAGTGTTCTGTAATGGGTAAAACAGTTAACGTCAGGCTTCGGGAAGGACTCGCCGTTCGCAGCGGGCAATGACTCGGCGCTCGCTCGCGCAGCGGGCCCCTATTTACTTGCGCGTTCCTGCCATCCTCAGGTCGCGGGGTGCTCCATTGTCGACGAGGTGCTGCCTACGTCCCGCCGTCCTGGTCGAGCCGCCGTCCGCGTACATGAAGAATAAACCGTCCATCGAGGGAGAGGAAAGAACTATCTTAGAACCCGGAAAAAGGGAGGGCATGGAGATGAAGTGCTGGGGAGAGAGAGGGAAGACGAGGTGCGAAGTACAAGAAATGCCAGGCGCGGCGCAACCCGAGTACCATTTTATCCCGACGGTTGGACTTTGTGACGCCATACCGGCCATAACGTTGATTGCCGCTGCGGCGCTCAGTCGTAACGTGAGAACTGGTCTGTGGGGCTCGAAGATGAAAAGGCAAGCGTAGAGTAAGCGTATAAATGGAACAAAAGGGGCGTTCTGCGTGGCACTCTAAGTATCCCCTCTACAAGGGCCCTCCCTGACTCATTTAACAACATCGTGGAGCCCATCCTCACAGTCACCAAGCCCGCCGACTTGAAGCTCGACGACATCTGCAACTGTCTCCTCGACGAAGCGAAGCGTCGCAGCTCCTCCACCAACATCGCCGCCTTCCACGCACCGAAGGCGTCTACCTCAGGCAAAGCCAAAACTGGCAAACCTGACGGCAAGAAGGGCAAGTGCAACTTCTGCCACTACAAAGGGCACTACGAGCAGGACTGCAGAAAGAAAAAGGCCGCCGCCGAAGAGGCGCGGAAGGGCAGCAATGGCAAAGCCCAGGATGGTAAAAGTAACCCGTCCGGTAGTAGTACTGGTCATGCATCTGTACATGTAGTCACCGCCGAAGGAGCCGCTGCTTCCGAGGCCGAAATTCACTCCGCTTCCTGGTATCTCCACGGTGTGAAACGCTGGATGTTAGACTCCGGCTGTACACGACACATTACGAACGACCTGAACGACTTCGCTGAGTACACCACCTTCGCGTCGCCTACATATGCAACCCTAGCAGATAAGGCGAAAACGCAAGTAAGCACGCTCGGTTCAGGTGTTGTCGAGGGCACTACGCTCGTCGACAACAAACCAGTAAACATCAGGCTAGAGAACGTTCTCTACAGTCCTGCAATGTCCAGACGGCTGATATACGTCTCATGCATCGAAGACAAAGGCTTCGATCTCGTCTTTGGGAAAGGACAAGCCCAAATCAAGCGTGGTAACACCACGTTTGGCATAGGCACTAAGTCCCGCGGCCAGTATTGGTTGGACCTTACTCCACCTCCACCATCTGTCACGGTCTCCACGCATAACGCCGCTTCGCTCGACGTTATCCATCACCGGTTTGGTCACCTGAACTGGGAGGCAGTACGCAAGCTCGCCGCTGCTGATTCCTCTCCGGTCAAAGGCCTCATTGCCGCCAATATGGATAAACCTTCGCACCCATGCGAAGGCTGCGTCTTGGGCAAAGCACACAGGCATACATTCCCCACATCATCCACCTCACGCGCCAACAAACCCTTCGACCTCATCCACTCTGACCTCGACAGACCTATGTCGGTGGTGTCCATCACAGGCCACCAATACTTTGCTACCTTCATCGACGACTGCTCCGACGTCACCTGGGTCTACTATCTGCGAACAAAGGATGAGTTCCTCTCCGCGTTCAAAGACTTCATAGCCCTCGTCGCGCAACAGTTCGATACGGTCATCAAGGTCTTTCGGTCAGATCGAGGGGGTGAATACCAGTCCAACGAGTTCATCAACTTGTTGAAGAAATCTGGGATCATCCACGAGCGCACGATACCCGGTACCCCACAGCAAAACGGCAAAGCTGAATGTATGAACCGCACGCTCGTAGAAGCCACTAAGTCAATGCTACAAACCGCTGGGCTATCACACGGATTCTGGGAAGAAGCTGTTCGCACAGCTGTGCACGTATGCAACAGAAGTCCTAAGAAAGCTATTGCATGGCGTACGCCCCTGGAACAACTCACTGGCACCACACCGGACGTGTCCCACTTCCGGGTCTTCGGTTGCCAGGCCTATTGCCACATACCCGGGGATAAACACAAGAAACTCGATGCTAACGCTGAGAGCCTAGTGTTTATCGGCTACGAGACAAATTCTAAAGGTTATCGTTTATGGGATAAACGTAGCAGAAAGATCACCACGAGTACCGATGTGATATTCGACGAGTCGATCTTCCCCAATAAACTCCTACCCTCACCGTCCTCGACAAAACCGACCGGATCTACATCCATGCTGCCGTCATCTGTCGAACTCGAACTACCACCCCTTAACACGCCATCGGCTCCTACGCAGCCGCCACAGCCTGTACCACCTCCTACTCAACCCAACACACCTAAATCGTCTACAGCATCCCAAATACCACGCCTTACACCTCAAACAGAGTTGTATACAGCTTCGCCAATCCCGCCAAGTGCACCGGTCAAGCCTGAATTCAAAGGCAAGGCCAAAGCCTCACCATCTCGCATCATCGCCCCTCCGCCACTCCAGCCAAATCCCAATACCACCTCGTGGGACTACAACCCTTTCACCAACCCTGAGCATGCCACGACGTCATCAAGCATCCGCCGCGGTACCCGCGAGCGTAAGGCAACTCAGAAATGGACGAGTATTTGGCCCGGAGCGACCGAAGCAGACATCGAGGAAGCACTGAACACAGGCAAGGAACCGGGCGACATTGCTGCGATCGTAGGCGACTCCTCCATTGCTGGAGAGCCGCGAACCTACAAACAAGCAGCTGACGCCCCGGATTCAGCAGAGTGGATGACTGCCATGCAGGCCGAAGTCACTGGCCTTCTGGAACAAGGCACCTGGGAACTTGTCGACCTACCAAAGGGTCGCAAGGCGATCAAGTGCAAATGGGTATACGTTGTCAAGCGCAACGAGAACGGAGAAGTGGATTGCTACAAGGCAAGGCTCGTAGCCAAGGGGTTCACACAAGTTCAAGGCATCGATTACGAAGACACCTTCACTCCCGTCGCCCGTCTGGAGTCCTGGCGATACCTCATCGCCCTAGCGGCCATCCAGGACTGGGAAATCCATCAGATCGACTTTGATAGAGTGTATCTGAATGGAGAACTCGACGAGGAGCTCTACATGGAGCAACCTAAAGGTTTCGTAACGGATGCAGGCAAAGTATGCCGCCTGCGGAAAGCAATATACGGGTTAAAGTAAGCGGGACGAACATGGTTCCTCACGCTCAAAGCCTGTCTCGAGGACATTGGATTCGCATGCCATGACACTGGCGACGTATCCATCTTCATTCGCCGTCAACGAGGGGGATCCACTCAAATTTTAGTGGTTTACGTTGACGACCTAACTATGATGGGAAACAGTCTCGATCTCATCCAACAAACGAAAGAGGCATTGAAGGAAAGGTTCCAACTCAAGGACCTTGGCAAACTCAAGTACTACCTCGGCATTCGTGTCACGAGGGATAGGGGGAGTCGAGTCACATACCTCGACCAGGAAACGTACATCAAGTCCGTTCTCAAACGATTCGGATACAAAGACTGCAACCCCACATCTACACCACTCGGCACTGACATCGTACTCGAGAAGAACGAGGAAGACCCTGCAGACTGTCCACAAGACCGCATCAAGCTCTATTGCTCACTCCTCGGCTCACTCATGTACGCCATGCTCGGGACTTGCCCCGACATCGGCTTCGCCGTCGCCCGACTTTGCCAATACCAGGCAAACCCTTCACCGAAGCACATAGCTGCCGCCTATCGTGTTCTCAAGTACCTCTGCGGCACCTCCAACTATCGACTCTGTCTAGGTCAGAACGATGAGACCGATAGCCGTTTGCTCAGTTACACCGACGCAGACTTCACGAACGACAAGGACAACTCCATCTCAACATCTGGCTGGGTTTACAAACTTGGTAGAGGCGCGACCAGTTGGTCTTCTCGCAAGCAACGCTCTGTGGCTCGAGACACCTTTGACGCAGAGTACTTCGCAGCTGACAAAGCAGTCTGACATTTACAGTGGCTCGAAATCTTTGCTGAGTACATCAAACACCCACTCACGAAGCCTGTCCCTCTCCACTGCGACAACAAATCTGTCGTTGATGCTGCCCAGTCACCCAACGTCAAGCATCGCACAAAACACACCCGCGTCAAAGCTCACGCTGTTCACGAGCAATTCGAAGCAGGTCTGATCAAACTCGTTAGGATTCCCGGTGTCGACAATCTGGCTGATATTCTCACAAAGCCTTTACCGGCTGAGATACACAACCGTTACACCCAGTCTCTTGGCCTCGTTCCGTATCACCTCGCCAAGGGGGAGTGTTGAAGCGCCTAGTGGCTCTGGCTCGGCGTTCCGCCCGGCATGGACGAAAGGTGGACATCTTAGATTAGGCGCTGCTAATGTGTAGATAGTGATTGGACAATCATATGTAGTGTTCCCACACACGGACCTCTTTATGGCAGGCTTCCCCATTCTAGCGGACTTTCAATTTTGCTTCCTTTTAGTATATAAGGACTCCCCTCGCATCCCCACTCTGCGTGCTCCTTCCCTTCGCACTCAGAGTAAGTTCCCTTCGTCGCCCTTGCGCAGTATGACATATGCTTACCACTGCCTGTATAGCTAACACCGTGTGTATCAGGTAGTTACTTATACAGCATGCTCCTTCCCTTCGCACTCAGACTAACACCGTGTGTATCAGATCGTGCCCGCGTGCCACTCGCCAGTTCGCGCTCGCGCAGCCCAGTCGTCGTATCACGACAATAAAATGTTTGATAGTGCAATACCAACTCCCCCTAGTACCACGTAAACCGGACTGCGAGGAAAGACAGGCAGGCAGCCCGCTCGTTTTTTCTCTCCCTCGCCCCGGCATGGCACACCAACTATCGGCTAAACGCATTGGTCACCATGCACACGATCCATAAAATCCCCGGAGGGATTAGTACTCGTGTATATCGAATAAGAATATAATCGGTGGCTCGCAACTCAGTTTGATCAAGCACTCAAGCCAGCTGATAAAGTCCCCCGTTCCACGTGTCCAAACTAGCTCTGATTATCATTTCCCCATAACACCGCCCCTGCCCAGCGTACAACAACCGTCCTCGCAAAGATAAGTCTTTGGACGAGTCAAGGCTCACGCCCTCGAATGTGCTGCGTGTCGTCGAGGATTTAGTTCCCCGGACAATGCATCGCCTCACCTTGGCCGAACCCTGTGCCCAGCATAGCCCCCAGTCAACGGCGAGCGGCTGTCGCTCAACTTGCGCATAACAAATGGTCCGCGCTCGTCGGCCTGGTGCGATGCCTGCGAACCCGAACCCGAACTGCGACAGCTCTGCTCTCGGTGGAGTCGAGGCTGAGTGCTCAAACTGCGGCGCTACCCACACGTGTCGCGTCTCAACGACGAGCTCAACTGCAATGCTTGCAGGCTCTGCTATAAGATAGGTATCGTATAATCTCTCTCATTTTCTCTGATTTAAATTTCCGCCACAGCATAAACGCCCCCGCCCCAAGAGTATACGCAGAAACCACGGCCAGGGCCACTTGCGGACCGCTCCTCGCCAGCCTCTGGTCATATCTCACTGAGAGACCCACCGCGGGCTGTGTTTGACGACAGTTCAGAGGTTGAGTTTTTTTTTTGCAGCCTGTACCCGCAAAATTCAAGTTTTCATCTGTGCAGCAAAGTCCGTTTGCGGAGAAGTTTGCTAGGGTCGATAATGATGGACTAGCGCTAAACATCAAGATTTCACTTGCGGAACCGTCCACCATATTTATGCTTGCAGGTACAGCCTCGTGCATCGAGACGGAAATGCCGCCTCCAGCTCTGCCCCGCTCGCTTCGCGTTATCCTCGTCGCTACCGCTAGATCCAGTGCCCGATATTGAAGCTGATCCAAGTGTCCTCAGCAGCATTTACTGTCCGGCGACTCTCCTGTCACCACTTTTGCTGTAGGCGGCCCTGCACGGACCAAGAAACTGGCGCAAGTCAGCTCTTCGCCGCTCAGGACGCCCTCGGACGCACCAAGACGCCTTCGACGCGGCCCGCCACCTCCACCGCATGCGCGGTCGCCAGCCGAGGACTCCGCCTGCGCCTCGCAGCCGCCCTCGGACACACGCGAGCCTGCACGCCCTCCAAAGCACAAGAAGCGCAAGTTTGCCGACGCGCGTGCGCTAGCGCGGGCGAACCCGTGGCTAGACATTGAGGCGACGCACTCGGGGAGCGAGGCCGAGGACGGCGCGCTGGAGGACGCGGACGCGTCCAGCGATGTCGGCTTCGCAGGCGATTTTTCCGCGACTCAGGCTCCCGCGGGGTACGACCAGGTGGTGGTGTACTGCAGAAGTTTCCTGATGCAGGCCGCGTTGACCGCGAGCGTGCCCATGTTTGCGCATGCACCCGTCAGCAGGGGCGTGCTGTGTGCGGGGGCTGTACGAGATGGTGTGTGCGAGCGCGGGCTGCTCCCGAGGAGCTCGCCGAGGGAGCTGGATAGCGAAGACGCGTACGAGCCGAGGACGTTTATTGTGAATGACGACGAGGAGATATTGTATGTCCGGGCTTCGTCGATCCTGAGTCAGTGATAGGTGGCTCGTTTATCTTATGGCACTGGCTCCGGATGTTTGTTTGAACTGTCTGGGCGACCTTGGTCTGACCATCAAGATCTGCATAATAGTCGAAGGCTTTCACGGCTAATATGCCAGCACGAGAATCAAAGAGGAACACACTGGTGTGGATAGCATATGGCAGTGTCGAGAACTCTGAGCCAGCAAGATCGATATCGCTGCGTCGGCTTCACTATAAATCACGGCTGACCACATCTAAGCCGACGAGCTCATTCTCATCCAAAATACATGTTTATCACAGTTTGAACCTCTGGAGCTTGGTTTTAATCGCGATACATATGAACTGGTGGAGGCGGGTGCTATTTCTGCCATGGCAAAGCAAGAATAATCCGCGTGCACGATAACTCTCCTGCAAGCTGTACACAATACTAGATCAGCTGGAATAACACAATGATCCGGAAAACATGACGGCGATGCAGAGAATACGATGACAAGACAGGAAATCTGACGACGAGAAGAGAGGGGTGTATATATATATATGGAGTGAACAGGTCTGCACGCGAGGACTAGACTCCTGCAACGAGAAGACGAGTAGTGGGAGTTGGCGTTGTCCATGCTGAAGATGGCGGGACGAATCCAGCGCACTGAATGAGATGTTTCACCAACCTAGGCAGTTACACCGTAGAAGAGGTCTAACGCGCTAGTCAGGCACAGGTCGACTGACGATATTTTGGCTACTCACAGAGTTGATGTCATCTTTGGGTTCCTCATAGATGGATCCTTCTGAGTGACGAGAGCGCGATCGAGAGGCGGCTTTCCTCGTGCGTGACCTTGTCGCACGTGGAGGAGGGTAGCCAAGCTGATAGAAGTGCACCAAGATGAATGCCGTGTGCACGAGCCCTGTCGCACCAATGACAATAATCAGGGCACAAGCAAGAGCAGAAACAGGTACGCCTTGAGTGGCTGCTGCTGTAGAGCCTACATTCCCTTCGGACGTGGGATTTATGCCCCGCGAGTCGAGTATGGCGTCCGCCACGTACGTAGACATGCTGCCGGATGACAGGAGGCACCACAGAAGACTAATCGCGAACATCCCGAAAGAGACATAGGACCTAGCAGAGGGGAGGGTCATCCATGTGTGCACCGTTATAGATGCTGTGCAAGAATCACCAGTTTATCCAAGCAATGGGAGCCACGAGCAATGTAGATGTCGCAATAAACGGGGATTCAGCGTTGCGTTCAGTGACCGAGTGCCAGTTCCATCGGGACTCGTGATTGCGGCGAATGAACTCGATGTGTCTTCTCATCGCCATACACAGCACGAGGGAGACGCCACCGCATACATATGTCGCGTATGAGAACGTTGTCGCAATGGAGAATGATGGATCCGCCACACTGAGTTGCATGTGGCGCTCGACGAAGGCGCATGCGCTAGTACGGCAGCCTGTTAAGCACAGAGACAAGGAGTAGCACAAGCGACGCACAAGATGACTCATTCGCACTGACGTGTGATGTCATCCCAACTCTTCAGCATGTGGTCGACGAATTTCTGCCAGTCGCCGTCGAGCCTGGCAGGCAGTCGAGCGCTCACTGGCAGCCTGGCCTTCGCAGTTGTAGCGTTGAAGTCGTTGATGGAATGGGAGAACGACAGAAAGGATGAAATAGACATGAGGAGGCCTCTGTAGTAAGCGAACGTGTAGCAGGCGACCACGAATGAGCATATTCATGCAGTGACTCTGCCGCCGTAGACGTCTTCGGCGCCAATAGGGTGGAATTACGCGTGAAGCGCCGGGGTATCTTACTTGCGAGCCGCGGGGCGTTGATTACACTCTCGTCCGACATGTACGAATCGTGTCGAGGATTTTGTGGATCATGTGCATGGTGACTAATACGTTTAGCCGATACTTGGTACGCCATGCTGGGGATGAGCGATGAAGAGAGGGAGTGGACTACTGCCCGCCTCCCACCTTGGCCGGAACCATAGCCCCAGTCAACGGTGAGCGCTTGAGCAGCTGTCGCTCAACTTGCACACAACAAATGGTTCGTGCTCGCCGGCCGTCGCGGTGCCTGCGAAGTAGAGTACGAACTGCAGCGGCTCTGCTCTTGGTGGAGTCGAAGACGAGCGCTTAAACTGCGGCGCTACCCACACGTGTCACAGCCTCGACGACGAGCTCAGCCCGCAATGCCCGCGGACTCCGCTAGCCGGGCGCCGTATAACTTCTCTCATTTTAATGTTAATTTCTGCCATAGCGCTATCGCCCCTTTCCCAAGAGTATATGCAGCACCCACAGCCAGAGCCGCTTGCAGACTGCCCCTCGCCGGCTTCTGATTGTGGCTTGCCGAGAGATTCATCACGGGGTATACTTGAAGATCTCACCTGCGAAACTGACCGCCAAATTAAGGCTTTCAGGTACAGCCTCGATTGTTGAAGCGAAGGTGCCGCCTCCAGCTCCGCCCATCCACTTCGCATTACCCTCGTCACCGTCCATACGGTGTCTGACCCTGGTGCCAACCTGGGTTCTCAGCATCATCCACCATCTGATGGCCCTCTGGTTGCCACCTTTGCTTCACGCAGCCCCGCACAGACGAAGAGATGCGTGCAAGTCGACTCTCCACCGCTCGATACACGCCCTCTGACGCACCAAGACGGCTGTGTCGCGGCTTGCCACCTCCACCGCGTGCACACTCACCAACCGAAGCCTCCGACAGTACCTCGCAGCCGCCCTCGGACATGCGCCAGCCTGCGCGCCCTACAAAGCACAAGAAGCGCAAGCCCTCCGACGCGCGTGCACTCGCGCGGGCGAACCCGTGGCTGGGCATCGAGGCGGCGCACTCAGGGAGCGAGGCTGAGGATGGTGCAGCCGAGGATGCGGATGCGTACAGTGAGCTGCGACGTCGCAAGCGGCAATGCCGGCTTCGCAGATGAGCCTTTATCCACGCAGGCTCCCGTGGGGTACGACCAGGTGGCGGTCCACGGCCGGAGTCTGTTGACGCGGGCCGCGCCGACCGCCAGCGTGCCCATGTTCGCCTGTGGGACTGCCCGGAGGGACGTATTCCATGCGGGGCCTGCGCGAAGCAGTGCGGGAAGGAGTAGCCCGCCGCTGAATAGCGAGGACGAGTATGAGCTGGGGACGTTTGTTGTGGACGATGACAAGATAGATGGCGTACGCCCAGGGCTCGCCGATCCTTAGTCGGTGACCGGAGGCTCATTCATGGTATAGCATTGGTTCCAAATGATTGTTTGAGCTACCGGGCGACCTTAGTTTAACAATCCAGATCTGTATGGTAGCCGAAAGCTGCCACCATTACTATATCAGCACGAGGTCCAACATTAATGGTGTTGCATTGACTTCGCTACAAGCCGCAGTTGACTGCATCCGAGACGACAAGCTCACCCTCACCTAACATCTCAATCAAAGCTAGTCTGCGTTGCGTGACTATATACCTTCTTCGGGTTTGGATAGTGATGTGCGGGCCGGGCCTCAAAGCCTCCAAGCCCGCCAAGCCCGGCCCAAAAAGCCTGGCCCGAGCCAAGCCTGGCAGCGGGCTCAAGGCCGGGCTCGGAGCGTAGTCAAGCCCAAGCCCGGCCCGGAAGCCCAGGCTTGGGTGTGCTGGCTCCGTTACCGTTCCCTGAGTTCATAATAAGGAGAGAGCGACCTAATATGCACATAGAAGACAAAATGTAGATATTCTAGATGTAACGGCTCCCGCCGAGCACGATTGTGCGTCACCATCTGGTGCCTGCCGTGGGTGCACGCTCGTGGACTTCGCTGCGACTCGACTTGTTCCACAGGTGTAGATCTTCTGGAGGTTATAATTTAGTGAGTACATGCAGTATTAATCTACTACACCCAAATACATTCCCTTTTGATAGCACCGGAACACTCGTTGTATTGTGAGCAAGCCCGGGCTTAAGCCCAAGGCTTGGGCCGGGCCCGCACATCACTAGGTTTGGATAATAAGCCAATCCAAATGTGTATATAAAGTCAAGGCCTTCGTCGACTAACAAAGGGCTTGTTTGTCATCCAGATGCACATAACCTAACAGAAATGCATGCTACATTTATAGGAACCATAGCAAAGCATGAATAGTCCATGTGCGCAATAACTGCTCCGTTAACTGTATACAGGACTAGATCAGCTGAAATATCACGATAACACAGGAGAAATGACAACGATGCAGAGAACACGTTGACGATACAAAAACATGACGACATTGCGGAGGATATATGGTGTGAGCAGGTCTATATGTGAGGTTTAGTGCTCCTGCGACGAAGAAACTTGGATGAGCAATGGGAGCTGGCTTTGTCCATGCAGAAGATGGTGGGACGAGCCCAGCTAGGGACGAGATGTCTCACCAGTCCAGGCAATTACACCGCGGAAGAGATCTAATGCGTTGGTTAGAGACAAGTCGATTACAACAGTCTGGCTACTCACAGGGATATAGTGATCAGATTCTTCGTAGACAGATCCTTCCGAGTGACGAGAATGCGACCGACAATCAGCTTTCCTCGTGCGTGTCCTTGTCGTACGCGGGAGAGGGTAGCTAAGTTGATAGAAATGCACCAAGACGAATGCGGCGTGCAAAAGCCCTACCGCACCAATGACGATGAT